CCCTGTTCAGAACCTCTTGCGTACAAGGTCGCCCACGTGGATGTAGGTTGAGCGGCGGCTGCCCCCACCCCCGTGTGTCATATCGACCCACTTGCACACAGCCAAAGGGCAAATAGGCAAAGAAGACAGGAACAGAAACAGCCAAATACAATAGAACAGGGGGCAATAAACAACAGCACAAAAAACGGATCCTAGATGACAAGTCCCACATGCAAGCACCACCCCAGTCCTACACAGGCCAAACGACTGGACATATATGGCGGTGCATATTTCCATGTTTTAGCTGAAGATTAATCATCATTTGCCTCATCTGGTGGTGAGTAGTAGAGCGACGGCCGTGGTAGGTGCTTGCTATGTACTTGTATTCGAACAGTACACGACAAAAAGGAAACGACAAAAGAAAATATGGCGGGATGTATCTGTCCATGTTCTATCTGAACATTCATTCTCATTTTCATCATCTGCTGAGTAGTCGAGCGAGGCCCTCAGTGCACAGAATACATAGAATATGGCGTGTATCTTTCCATGTTCTAGCCCTAGATTCGTTCTCATTTCGCTCATTTGATTAGTGGAGCCAGCCCCCTGGTCGGGTTTGCTTGTGGGCGGGGGAGTGTGTGTGCGCACACGCCCAGAGAAAAAAAAAAAAAAAAAAAAAAAAAAAAAGCCTTTTGTTTTAAACACCCAGAAAAAAAAAAAAAAAAAAGTTTGGCGGTCGCGCTTCCAGAAGTCGTCGTATCGTTAACACGCACCTCTCCACAAACACGTCCAGATTCAGGCATCAGACAGGCGGTCGCGCTTCCAGAAGTCGTACATTTTACAGTAAGTTCCGCTGTGCATCCGCGATATCTTGCCCTGTCTGATGCCCCGTTTGGTTCTACCAGGTCTCGCTAGCAGAGGGGAATTTTTTTATTTTTATTCTTTTAAAAGTGGGGAATTGGATTACGCTCCTGACTCTGGATGTGTTTTTTTAATGCAGAGATGCAGAGATGGAGAGATGCAGAGATACAGAGAAGCAGAGAAGCAGTTCAATCTCGAATTCCTGCACCTCTCCGCAAACACGTCGAGATTCAGGCATATTGAGGCTAATCCTCTTTCCTAGTGGGACCTCGGCCCTGGGCTTGGGGCACTGCAGTGGAAAAAAGAGCAGGAGACGGAGGGAGGAGACATGTAGGCGTGTTTTTTTTTATCTTTTTTTGTGCGAATTGCCGTTTATTTGAGAAAATGCGGCCTAGCCTCGGGATGTGTTTTTTTAATGCAGAGATGCAGAGAAGCAGTTCAATCTCGATTTCCTGCACCTCTCCGCAAACACGTCCAGATTCAGGCATTGAGTCTAATCCTCTTTCCTAGTGGGACCTCGCCCCTGGGACTTGGAGGAGCACTGCAGTGGAAAAAAGAGCAAGAGACGGAGGGAGGAGACATGTAGGCGTGTTTTTTTTTGTCTTTTTTTGTGCGAATTGCCGTTTATTTGACAATGTGGCCTCGCTCATACGCTAGATTTTTCGTCTTCGACGTTTGTTTGTTTTTCTTAATGAAGGAGAAAAATAAAATAATCATCATAATAATCATCATAATCATAATGAATCGTAACGCCCAAAAAAAAAAAAAACGAAGGAGAAAAAAACAATCATCTCAGGTTAGGGTTTGGACACATGCACATGCCTGAGATGGACTGGCTCCCTTTCTACCTTATATACTCAGTCTGTCCCCAAAATGGTCCAGGAACCAAGTCTACTTCAGCCGTTATCTCATCGAGCGGTTGGTACGCTCGCGCGTGTGCGTGTGGGTGCGCGCGTGGGTGCGTCGCTGTGTGGGTGTGTGGGTGTGTGGGTGTGTGGGTGTGTGGGTGTGTATGTGTGGGTGTGTGGATGGACGGGCAGGTGTGTGTGTGTGTGTGTGTGTGTGTGTGGATGGGCGGGTGCGTGGGCACACATTCGTTTTGTATGTTTCTTTTTCTTTCTCTCTTACTTTTGCCCCTCCGACACTGTCACACTCTATCATGATGACGCGGATTGTCAGATGTGTCAGAGCACGTACTTTAACATCGGATTGTCAGATAAGTCAGAGCACATACTCCGACAGCGGATTGTCAGATGTGTCAGAGCACGTACTCTGACACGTACTCTGACACGTACTCTGACACGTACTCTGACACGTACTCCGACACATCTGTCACATAAGTGCTTCCAAACTGTTTTTCTTGTCCTTTTTTTTTCTTTTCTTTTCCTTCCCTTTTTTCTTTTCTTTTTGTTGGATTTTGGTGGCTTTTTTTTTTTGCTTTTTTTTTGCCCCCATTCGACCCCATACGCTCTACCCGACCGCATTAAAACGCCAGATATTTGCCATCTCGTATGTTTGCAATCATCGTGTGAACCCCTCCACGATCATGAAATCCCTTCCTGACACATTCCCTCAGAAATCAATGACCAATCCCAGATCCCACAGCTCTGACGCTCTCTGACACTCAGCCTCTGACGCTGACACACGTTAACGGACGGCTCACAATCCATCTGCCCACTTTTTTTAATCTACGGCTTCCCATGATCTGACGCTCTCTGACACTCAGCCTCTGACACTGACACACGTTAACGGACGGCTCACAATCCATCTGCCCACTTTTTTTTATCTACGGCTTCCCACGATCCACCTGTCCCATTTTTTTTTCATTCCCGGCGCCAGGTGTCGACCAAGGGTGCGTTTTGAGGGGGCGAATAATAAGTTGCCACGACACCAGTGTCAGAGCCCGCGGCTGATGAACTTAGTATAGTATCTTGACTAGGTGGACAACATAGATAGAGAGTGATACTAGTAATCACAATATACTAGTAAATAGCGGAATATAAGCAAGTGCTTACAAGCTATCTTTCCGGTCCGATACATCCCTGGGGGGCGGGCGCATAGCTGCTTCAAGGGGAACCGACCATCAGCATTGCCACGGGGCTGCACGATTTGCCCCCATGCCCGCACGATTTGCCTATCACCATCGCTACGGGCCTGCACCAGCCTCTCGCCTCTCTCTCTCTCTCTCTCTCTCTCTCTCTCTCTCTCTCTCTCTCTC